ACTCCACACACACACATAACTAAAACTTTAAAAAGAAACTAAAATGAAAGGATAATATAAAGGGTTCGACATATTTAAAACGTTTTAAAATGATATGTCCCTGCTACGAAGTGACAGAAAAAAGTAACACCAGTGTTGCATGGCGGAGACTTGCACATTAAGAACAAGTCTACCACCCCCATCCAAACCTAGAATAAAACTTACTGCTATTCAAATCTTATGTGAAACAAGTTTTTGGTTTTCTTCCTTGAGACAGGGTCTCACTATGCAGCCCTGGATCTCCTGGAACTCCCTATGTGTAGACCAAGCTGGCCTTGAACTCAGAGACCCTCTTGTGGCTGCCTCCCTAGTGCTGGGATTAAAGGCACCACACACAGCATTGCTTGTTTTTTAAAGCCAGTCCCTTCTGGTAAGAGTGAGATCTGACTTCATTCTCTTCTGGAAACTGACCTGTAGGAGAGATGGAGCACTGGCTGCTCTTCTAGGGAACACAGGCTCGATTCTCAGTGCTCACAAGCATTTGTAACTCCAGTTCCAGGGGATCTGGCTCTCCCTTCTGGCCTCCTTGGGTACTAGACACATATACACAGGTCAAAACACCCATATATTTAGAGAAAAACTTGATGGTCTCAATATGCACACATCCATGTCCTATGTAGTTAAGAGTTCCTCCCAGCTGGGCAGTGGTGGCGCACGCCTTTAATCCCAGCACTTGGGAGGAAGAGGCAGGTGGATTTCTGAGTTTGAGGCCAGCCTGGTCTACAGAGTGAGTTTCAGGACAGCCAGGGCTACACAGGGGAAACCCTGTCTCAAAAAACCAAAAAAAAAAAAAAAAAGAGTTCCTCCCAAATACATGCCAGCAAGTGTTTATAGCTATGCTCACCAAAGCTCCTATCTGTAATGTGTTAACATTCAAATACCAGGAACAATCTTAATGTTCATTAACTCTTTTACAAAAGGGTTATCTGTGGCAGTCACACACAGAAGATAACGCCACACTTGAGAAGCAGGAGGACAGGTGCTGGGGTTATGATAAAGCATGTCCCGAGGGTCCCATGCCCAGCATGGCTGCCTCCCCTCCTCAGAAGGAATCTTAAATATTTACCATTGTAACTTATACTCGTGGGTGTCAACCAAAGGCATCTCTTCTGTCCTATATCAAAAGGCTGCAATAAAACAGTAAACTATTTTCTGGTTTGCTTAGGATTTAATCTGCCTGCATCTACTTGACCAAGATTCTCTTTCCTAAATCATGTTAAAACAAGATTAGATCAATGTTCCTGTCTTTAGTATAACCCACATGCCAGGTACAACAGGTCTCTAATTACACACTGAATCCTCAGCAGAGTCCATTTTGTATGAGAATCTAAAGACCAACGGAATTAAAAGTGTGACAAATGCAAGTCTGTAGTAAGAAACTGCTAAGTGTGTGCTGTGGTGGAACTTTACAGACACTGAACTAGAGAGAAAAAAGGAATTCAAATTTAGTTCAAGACAAACACTACACTGAAATAAGCCCTCTGTCCCCCTGGATGGTAAAGTCACTTGACTGCTCACAGTGTGGACATACAGCAGAGGACACAAGCTTCTCTGCTCCTAAGTCAAGGGACAAGGAAGGGGGTGGGGGGGGCAACAAAAGGCAGGTTAAAATAACAACAGCCACCATCTGCTGAAATGGGATGGTCAGGCTAGTACACATGGGAACTCAGAAGACTCCTTTATCATCTGGGGAGGTGGGTGTTAGAAATGATTTTTTTGACTTAACTAAAAAGAAATCTACAAATTCTTTGAATACTGCTGACAAAAAAAAAAAATCTGTCAAACCCATAAATCACATTTTATTCATTTCTAAGTTAGTCACAAAAATCTTACCTACTCAGCACTTCACCTTAGGGATCCTGTTTTCAGCAGAATAATGATTAGCATCAAAGAACTCAAGTCCATTTCACTCTTAAAATACCAGCCACCCACCACCTTATTTCCCTGAATGGCATTATGGTTGCACAATCTAATATTTAAAGGCAAATGCCAAATGTCAAGAGACAACTGACATTCCTGGCAAAATGTGTCTATCAGGATTTTAAGTGATTTTTATATAGTTCAGAACTTTTCTAGAAAGAGAGAAAAGGACTAAGCCTATTCCACAGGAATGACATTACCAGGCCAAGGCATAGGACTCAAAGACACCACTGGGTCCTCAGCTGCTGACAATGCTTTACCAAGGACGTGGTCTTGAGAGTTGTGTCCCAGGGATGCACCAGGGTGAAGAATGTGCTTCTGTTTAGAGGCAGAAGACTCATGGCTGCTTCTTTCCACACTGAGATCAGGCCGTTTCCAAGTCTCCTTTAAAGTGACCACAAAGGAAAGCTGCAAAGACTGAGCAGCTTTCAACTACCTGTCTATCAATATGAAAATTATCACATGGAGTAATGCTTGTAAAACATATCTTTTTATGGGCTGGAGAAATGGCTCAGAAGTTAAGAGCACTGACTGCTCTTCCAGAGGTCCTGAGTTCAATTCCCAGCAACCACATGGTGGCTCACAACCATCTGTAATGGGATCAGATGCCCTCTTCTGGTGTGTCTGAAGACAGTGACAATGTACCACATACATGAAATAATAAATCCTTAAAAAGAAAATCCTTTTATGGAGATATTTAGTATTTAAGACATACTACAGTATCTACAATTTGCCTCTTAACAGTATACTGTGGGTAGGGGCTCAAGATGTTTGCAAGAAACAACACTGGTTCTGAATCGCAGAATCTGAGTGGTTACCAGCTATTTGTTGTAAGTCACCTTCTATGGGTTCTGAGAAACAAAACTGGGTCCACTTATTTCATATGTGTAGGTATTTTGCCGACGTGTTTGTATGTTTGCCCTATCTGTGTACAGTGTCCACAGAGGCCAGAAGAGGGCATCAAATCCCCTCAAACTGGGGTTGGTTTTGAGTAGCCCTGTGGGTGCTAGAATCAAACCCAGTCCTCTCTGGAAGAGCAGACAGCTCTCTTTTAACTGTTGAGCCATCTTTCTAGACCTGTATTTTCTTACTTTAATTCTGTATTAAGGTAACTGGGGATTCATGATACCACTCTATTCTGCTTAGTTTGAAACTCTGTCTCATAGGCTCTATAATAGTAACAGCCATAAAGAGCTATAGCTCCAGTAAGTACAACCGCTGATCTCAGCCTTAAGAATGTAGGAACTGAGGCTGTGAGGGGTTACGCGCCTGGGAAGCACCACCTGCAAAACGTAAGCTCTCAAGGCC